ATGGATTTTCGGGGAACACGAACATTCAGTCCGCAACAATTCATATATGGCAGACCTGGGTTTCACAATTAAAGAGGATTTCGGGAATGCTTGAGTTACATTACTAAGCATAATCATAAGACATCTCTGGAGGTAGGGGTTATTACCATCCTTCCCATCTTATAGGGGAGGACACTGTAGAACAAAGAGATGAAGATGCCCAACTAACCAGTGATGGAGCCTGGATTTGAACCATACTAGCCCAGAGTCCTCATGCCTCATGCATTATAATGCACTGCTCCACCATCCAGAATGGAAGACGAGGGCCCTGTGTACCTAGAAGTGGCTCCTTGGAGCTGCTGGTGAACACGTAATGCTGGGCCAGGCAGACTGTTGCTTTGACCCAGCTCGGAAATACTTACAGGAACGTAATTCTAACCTTCAAAGAATAGGAAGACATAAAATGCAACTTTCTGATGCAGATTAAAATCCATTCAGTCATGGGGTGCCTGGGTGGCTCTGTCAGATGGGTGTCTGACTCTTGATTCCAGCTTGGGTCTTGGTCTCATGGTTGTGAGTTTGAGCCCCATGCTGGGCTCCACACTGGGCATGGAGCCTACTTAAAAAAAATCCATTCAGCCATGAATCACTGTATTGTACACCTGAAACTAATATAACACTGGATGTTGACCATCCCGGAATTAAAATACTTTAAAAATCCACTCAATCATGAAAAACATTCATCTTTGCCTGGATATTTCCTTTCTTTTCAAGAGTTTGGTATAGTCGCCAAACAAAGAGACAACACAACCCATTCTCATTTCTCAGACCGCAGGCTCTTCTCTCAGACCAGAAAGGGACAATTTTCAGTGTCCACAGCTAGTACTCCAAACAGTCCCCAGGGAAAAGAGGAAACACATGTCTATAAATAAATATATAAGTAAACAAACAAATAAATAAATAAATAAAGCAGAAGCAAAATACAATATGCTGTAAACCCCTAGCACAAAGCCAACAAATAAACCATTTGCCTCTTAAAAAATGATTTCAACATTCACCCCAAAAACCTTTGCTCCTTTTCCACTAGAACACCCAGGTCCAACTTCCACAATGCTATCCCCTGGGCAGGTAGAGGTGACTTGTGCCCATTTCATATATGAAACAATCAAGGTCAAGAAAAGTATAAGTGTGTGCTTGCAGGACATCACCTAGTGCCCCCCACCCCCGCCCCAGCACTCACACTGCCATCAGGCGTACTTCCATGGAGATAACGGGAGACCAGGGTGCAGGAACCCTCAGGCAAAGGAACACACTGCTGGGCCCTGGGATGGTTTGTGCTCAGGTAGCCCCTCCAGGGGGGCATTGAGAAGAAGGGGCGGGAAAGGTCAGGCAGCAAGGCTGGTGGGCCTGGCAGCAGTGTCTGCTGAACTGTGAGATTATTCCCCTTTGAGCTGGGTATTGGCCTAAGGTCACTGGTGTCCTTCAAAACCACTCTGTTCTTGGGCTCCCGGCCACGCTCCTTGATCTACTTGCCAAGGAGGAAGCAGGTGGACGGGCCTGGCAGTGGGCTGGGCTGCTGGGAGGCTGGCACTGGATGGCTGGAGCGGGGACAGAGCTGAGCTGGTGCCAAGTGCCAGCCAGAGGGTGGAGGACCCTCACTAAGGCGGCACTCGGGGCTCCTCTCTGGCAAAGGGCGTGAGCAGCCGTGATGGAGTTACCAGGATCTGTCCTACATTAGCATATACCTCCAGTCAAGCAATCACCATCAGTCAGTGAGCATTTTCTGCGCCCCTCCTTTGTGGCGGCACCACTGGCTAGAAATGCAAAGACAAAAGACAAAGTCCCCAGCCTCAAAGACTATATAGGTTAACAGGAGATGGGCCCCTCCTTGGGGAAGGAACTGGTGCAGCCTCTGTGGGCCCCATGTTTTGGAGACTGGAATAGGGAAGGAAGTGCTACACTTTTCTAGACACTGATAGACTTCAATTTAAAATCCTTGTTGTTGGGGGCGCCTGGGTGGCTCAGTCGTTAAACATCTGCCTTCCGCTCAGGTCATGATCCCAGTGCCCCTGCTCGCTGGGAAGCCTGCTTCTCCCTTTCCTTCTCCCCCTGCTTGTGTTCCCTCTCTCGCTGTGTCTCTCTCTGTCAAATAAATAAATAAAATCTTTAAAAATAAATAGATAAATAAAATCCTTTTTGTTGGGGCACCTGGAGGGCTCAGTCGGTTAAGAGTCCAACTCTTGATTTCAGCTCAGGTCATGATCTCAGGGTTGTGAGATTGATCCCCTCGTCTGGCCCTGCGTTCAGTGGGGAGTCTGCTAGAGATTCTCTTTCTCCCTTTGCCCTTCCCCCTGCTCATGCTCACGCACTCTCTCTTTCTCTTTCTCTCTCACATAAATAAATAAATCTTTTTTTAAAAATGAAAGAGCGCTGCATGTTATACGCAAACAATGAATCATGGAAACTACATCAAAAACTAATGATGTACTGTATGGTGACTAACATAACATAATAAAAAAAAGTAATAATAAAAATAAATAAAAAATAAATAAAATCCCTGTTGTTAATGATCCCCTTGGGGCCCATGAACAATGCTGACCTCTCAGTTTCCTTTGTGGGTGCAGCTATCTGGGGATGGGCCAAGTTGTCCTAGGACCTGCGCCCCTCCCAGGATGGGTACAGGGACCTGTGCTGTCCAGAACAGTAGCCAGGGGCCACCTGTGGGGGTTGAAGCTTAAACTAAATAAAATGTAAAATGGAGCTCCTGAATTACATTAGTGGCCTTTCAAGTAGGCCCTCCAGGGGGCATTGAGAAGAAGGTACCACACATGGCTGGTGGCTGCCGAATTGGACAGAGCAGACATAGAACTCTTGTCATCCCCGTAAGTTTGATTGGCTCATCTTTGTGCATCGATACTTTTTTTTTTTAAAAGATTTTATTTATTCATTTGAGACACAGAGATACAGAGAGAGAGAGAGCATGAGCAGGGGGGGAGGCAGAGGGAGAGGGAGAAGCAGGCTCCCCGCTAAGCCAGGAGCCCAACGTGGGGCTTGATCCCAGGACCCCGGAATCATGACCTGAGCCGAAGGCAGACGCCCAACCATCTGAGCCACCCAGGCGCCCCCTGTGCATCGATCCTTGCAATAGACAGTGGCACTGGGGATGGGGATTAAGGAGGGTGCGTGTTGTGATGAGGACTGGGTGTTGTATGTAAGTGAGGAATCACTGAATTCTACTCCAGAAACCAATGTCGCACTGTCTGTTCACTACCTAAAATTTAAATTAAAAAAAAAGAAAGAAAGAAGAAAGAAAGAAAGAAAGGAAGGAAGGAAGGAAGGAAGGAAGGAAGGAAGGAAAGAAGGAAGGAAGGAAGGAAGAAAGAAAGAAAGAAAGAAAGAAAGAAAGAAAGAAAGAAAGAAAGAAAGAAAGAAAGAAAGAAAGAAAGAAAGAAAGAAAGAAAGAGGCACACCCTGGGTGAGCCATGGAGGGAGGAGTCTAAACCACCTGGGGCAGGGGTAGGGATGGGGAAGGCAGTGGAGAAAGGACCGAGCAGGACCGAGCCCAAACTTCACCTTGACCTCACCTTCAGTGTTGTTGGTGCTCCCTAGGTCTGAGGCCCCCTGCTTCTCTTTCCGCATGTTTCCCTGAGTCATCTCTTCTACTCCATGGCTTTAGTGACCACGGTCCTCAGAGATGCTCAGCCAGGCTGTGTTTGTACAGTTCAGTGGATCTCAAAAGACATTAGATCCCCTTCAAGGGCTTCATAAAAGACAGGCTCTGGCCCTTCCTTTCCAGTTTCTGATCAGCAGGCCCGGGGATGGGGCCATAAAAGTTGCATTTCAAACAAAGCCCCAGGAGACAGGTGCCCCTGAGGCTGCTGGTCCAGGAACCACACTCGGAGGATCCTTGGTATGGTCTAAAGAATACCAACCACTGATTCATTCATTCCACAAATATTCATGCAATGTTACCATGTGCCAGGGGCTCCTAGATGTGAACAAACCAGGCAAGTTCCCTGTGCTAGGGGGCTTACATTCGAGCGTGGGGAGACAACCAGTAAACAAAGCTATGTCGAGGGGTGATGAGCATTATAAAGAACAAAGTGGGGTGAGGGAAGAGGGCTATTTTATGGGGTCATCAGGAAAGGCCTCACTGACCAGGAGACATTTGAGCAATGACCTCAAGAAAGCAAGGGAGGGGCGAGGATATGACCCTGGCCTTTCTGGCCCCATCTTCAGCTTTTTAATTAGAAAAATGTGACTCATGGTTAACATGCTTAACAATCAAGGTCATCAGTCTCTGCGATAGCTAGGTTTGGAGACAAATTTGATTGTGTGTGTGTGTGTGCATTTTGTTAAAAAGAAGCCTAATGCTAAAGGCCATAGATTCCATCTGGGCCGGCAGCTCCACCTCTGGGCCTCCTCTGTCCACACTGCTCTCTGCAAGGAGAGGGGTCCCGAGGGTTAAGGGGACTGCCGTAGAGCCCGTATCCCACCTCTAGACAATGCCTCAGGGTTCCCAGTCCAGATGGCTCCAGCCCATTTCTAGGGCCGGCAGGCCTCTTCCCTGCCCTCCCCCACCCCAGGCCAAAAGACGAATAGGGGTGGGGTGGGGTGGCTGGGACCTGGGATGTCCATACGTAAGCATCTGAGGGTCCTACTGATGAGGGATAGAACTACCATGGGAGGAGAGGGCTCTATTTGCCTTCTGGTCCTGGGTTCTGCAAACATCAGGAGCAGACCAGTCAGCCTCAACAAATTAGCGGAACGCTCCTTACCTCTGTCCAGCTTTGGGGTCCAGACAGAAGAGTGTAGGTCAATCAACATTTGTCAACTGTTGCTGGAGGAATAAGCAACTGTTTAGGGCCCATGAGTCAGTAGTGGTCTCTGCATACATGAGGAATGGGGGCATGGGGGAACCGGCCCAGCCCCTCACCTACACGCACCAGCCTTGCTGGTGAAGAACAAACTATATGCTGTTCACCCCTAATTTGCCTTTTCAACACACGATATCTTTTTAGGCCCAACTGTCCCAGGCCTTAAATGGGGTTTCTGATAAGGCGAAAGAAGCAAAGGAGTTTCTGGTCCAGCTGAAGAACATCCTGCAGCAGATCCAGGTGAGGAGAGCGCCAGTCCCGGGAGGGCAGTTAGTATAGGAAGCAGACGAGAAGTGGCAAGAGGGAAGGGACAGTCCTGTGGCGAGCATTTTGTAGAAGGTTTAATTGTCGGGGCACCTGGGTGGCTCAGTCGTTAAGCATCTGCCTTCGGCTCAGGTCGTGATCCCAGAGTCCTGGGATCGAGCCCCGCATCGGGTTCCCTGCTCCGCGGGAAGCCTGCTTCTCCCTCTCCCACTCCCCCTGCTTGTGCTCTCTCTCTTGCTGTGTCTCTCTCTGTCAAATAAATAAATAAAATCTTAAAAAAAAAAAAGAAGGTTTAATTGTCCTACTGCATAGCCTCAGAGGCAGGGAATCAGTGCATCAAAATACCAATGCATCATTTACTAAATCCATGTGTGTACTGAGCTCCCGTATTGTGTCCCATACTGAGTCCAATACAGATCAAGAAGGCCCAGTCTCTGGCCTCAGGAGCTGTCTGCAGGAGAGAGTGCACACGCGTGTGCTCTGCATGCATGCGCATGCATGGAGGACTGGCTCACAGAGATGATGAACCAGAAGGGACACACAGTCACGTTCTGGGGTGCCGGTGGTGAGAGCTTCAGCACAGGCCACGGCACGGGCTCGGAATCCTTGCTGATCTCAGAGACCTCGAAGGATTCTGTTTTAAGACCGAGACAGATCCTACAGCAAGAGCACTGTATTTTGTTTTCCTGTCTTCTGACTACAAAAAGCAAAAGTATATATTGTAGAAATCTTGGAAAGTAGAGAACAATAGACAGGACTAAGAAAAACTTCGATATCTCTCCACCTTAGGTGACCGCTTCACCATTTTGACATGTTCCTCCATGATTTAGACACACGTGTACATGCACCCAGTGTGGGATTGTGCCGTACACAACTTGTAAACCCCCCCCCTTTTTTCCCTTTCCCAGTCTTTCATGAGCATTTTCCATGATATTAAAAACTCTTGGGGCGCCTGGGTGGTTCAGTCAGTTAAGCGGCTGCCTTCGGCTCAGGTCATGATCCCAGGGTGCTGGGATCGAGCCCCACGTCGGGCTCCCTACTCAGTGGAGAGCCTGCTTCTCCCTCTCCCTCTGCTTGCCTCTCTGCCTACTTGTGCTCTCTCTCTCTGTCAAATAAATAAAAGCTTAAAAAAAAAACCTCTTAATGAACAAGGTTTGAATGACAATGGATATTCCACCATAGAGATGTGCCAAGATTCATGGTACCCCTCCTCTGACTCATATTCACATTGTTTCCAATGTAATAATGTTACAGATGACTTGGCCAAGAGCTTCTCTGAAATACTTCTCTGTGTCTAGCACTGGCCAGATTTCAGCATGTCTTCTCCCTAAAGCTCTCTGCCTCCCCCAGGAAAACGGACTGGACTACGAAGCCTGCCTGGTTGCTCAGTGTGATGCGCTGGTCGACGCTTTAACTCGGCAGAAAGCCAAGCTGCTCACCAAGGTCACCAAAGAGAGGGAGCACAAGCTGAAGGTAGGTACCTGGGTGATGACACCCTGGTCCTCATCACAGCCTCCACACCGCACGTGGGGTGGCACACACAGTAGGCACCGGGTCAATATGAGTTGAGTGAGAGAATGGACGAATGAATGAATGAGGCGAAGAAGGGATGAGCAAGCTGCCCCTGCACCTGCTCACACTCACGTGACTTTCCCCAAAGCCATGCTCTCCCTACAAAGCTGCAGTAAGATGCCCACACTCCTGCTCAGGTCAGAAATACTGTCTCCCATCTTCTCTGAGGTCCTGTTTTCTATCTAAGGAATTCTGCCTCTCACCTTGCAGAGCAGAAGTGACCAGGGTTGGTGGCGAGGCCACACTCTGCTCAGGTCGCCAGCTCTGTCCCCTTCTTCAGGCCCTCTCTAGTATCTCATGCCCTCAAATGAGCAATAATAATATGACCAATGTCCACCGTGGGAAGGGGAGGGTTTCCCCTCACAGGACACTGGGCTCCTGGTCCAGGCAGGTGCCACGAACACTCTGCATCGACGGAGGACTGCTTCATTGTCTTGGGGGGTTCAACCTATTTTATAGACATTTCCCAAATGAATTAGGAAATAATACTTTCAAGGAAAGAAGGAATGAGTGTTGGGGATGGTCCGTGGCTTTCAAGTGAAGCAGCAGAACCCATCCATGACAGGTGAGAAGTAAGATAAGAGGTTGGTCACTGGTCCCGTGGAGAGTTTCAGACTGTGCACTTTCTCTGCTATCCAGAGTTCAGGAACAGAGTTCGTTCTGTCAGGCATTGGGCCCGCTTGTTGGGAAGTGGGTCCATTTATTCCCCAGGAGAGAGGGCCCATGGAGCTCAGGAGCAGAACAGCCAGAGGAGAGGGTGCAAAGTGGTCGCCTCTCCCAGGGCTTTCTCTGTGCTAATTCTCCAACTCCCACTACAGCCCAGCTGCTCTTCCTCTGATGAGAAGGTCACTAGGGGTTCTTTTCATCACAGATGGTTTGGGACCAGATCAATCACTGCACTTTGAAGCTGCGCCAGTCCACGGGGCTGATGGAGTACTGCCTGGAGGTGATCAAGGAGAACGACCCCTCCGGGTTCCTGCAGGTGAGCCTGCGCTCGGGGGACAGAGACAGGCTTGGCTTCCCACTCCAAGTCCCCAAACTAGCCGAAGTTTTAGGACTAGTCCCTAAGGATTAGGATTAAGGATTAGTCCCTTCCAGGGAATTGAGTAGATATTCCTTTGCTCAGAGATTCCAGAGGACCTAGGCTCTCCTCTTGGCTCTGACTCTCACTAGCTGTGACCCTGGTTCTGTGTCCTGATTAAAAGAGGGAGTCAAATGTCATAATTTCTAGGGCCAAAATGTCATGCGTTTATGCTTCAACTTCCAGAGACCCCAACTCAACATTTTCCCCACAAATGGGAGAGGACAGTCTTTGCCAGACAAGCTGGAAAGATTGTGGTGGAGGACGTGAGTTAGCAGAATCCACACGGCCCATTACCTCCATGTGCAGAGTCCTGCAGGCGTAGACAGATGGCCACTACCCGCAGAGCCCAAGCAGCCTTGCTGGGGCATCCCTCCAACAGCCGGGCTGACTCAGGGCCACGAGCCACTCTCAAGAACACGACAGTGATTCAGATGGTGGCTCAGTCCTCCATCTGCGGGGAAAATGATGAATCCCCTTGACTAGTCCCCAAGAAGGGTACACGGGATCATGGCTCCTCGGGGACACGTGCAAGTGTCAGAATGAGCAGAGGAGAACAGAGCTGGGGGCGTGATGGGGAGTTTGGAGCAGAGCAACTTGGAGGGAACACACTGTGGAGAGTGAGCCTCAAAACTCTGGGGCTATAGGAAGCACTTCCTTCAGACCCTGGGACAAACCACTGGTATGTTTCACTTTGCAAAGGACGAGATCTAGCAAAAGCAGAATAATGAAGACTGCTTTTGCGTATTTAAAAAAGAATCATTTGCTTCACAAAATGGTTTGGCCTGATACCTTTAAATAGCAAGTTCTTCTTCACATTTAGATGATTGCTCTTTTAAAATATGATTCCAACGATACAGTGCATTTTTATTTGCTCAGTGTCGTGCTGGCAGGGATCATATCTTCTCTGCTGTGGCTTGAGAGCACGTGGCTAGCGCAGCCCCCCTCCTCCTCCCCAGCCACAGACACCAAGCCCCTCCTTCCCCACCACTTGCTGCATGAGTTTTCCTTTGCAAATCAAAACCCTAAACTCTGTGCTCCCCTTTAAGATCTCGGACGCTCTGATCAAGCGTGTCCAGGTGTCTCAGGAGCAGTGGGTCAAAGGTGCCCTGGAGCCAAAAGTGTCTGCGGAGTTTGATCTGACCTTGGACAGCGAGCCGCTGCTGCAGGCCATCCACCAGCTGGACTTCATCCAGATGAAATGTAGGGGTGAGCCGTGGTTGGCCCAGTTCAGTCTGTGCTTCTTTCAGAAGAGGCATCCACTCTGAGGGGGCAGCTCAGGGTCATTGGAAAACAGAGCGGGAGGGGAGAGATGCCAAAGTCACAGACCCAGCTTCAAGTCCCAGCTCAGCCACCCACTAGCTGGGTGGCCCAGGGTGGGTAGCACCCCAGTCTGAGCCTGAGTTTTCCCATTTGTAAAAGAGGATTAGTTGTTTATTCAGACACTTAGTGAGTGCCTGCCGTGTGTCAGGCACTCTTCTAGGTGCAGGACACAGCTTTGAACAAGTCAACAAACTCTCTCATAAGATCGAGCTGATATTCTAGAAAAGGAAATAGACAGTACACAAATATATCATATAATGTCCAGTGGAGGCTTTTTGGGAAAGGGGGGTATTTTGATGTGAGGAGGAGGAGGAGAGAGATGCGATATAGGGGAAGAATATTCCAGATGGCAGAGGGGTGACATATGCAAAGACCCTCAGGCAGGAATCCATTTTCTGGGTTCCAAGAAGAGCAAGAAGGTCAGAGGTGAGAGCAGAATGAACAAGATGGAGGGTGCTAGGAGGTGGGGGAGAGCCATGGGAGACACAGGCTAAGGGTCAAGTAAAGTTGCATGCCTTGAACCAGGTTACAAAATTAGCGAGTGTTGGCCAGAACCAGAGTCCTATTCGAAAGTCTCTCTCTCCAGAGGCATCAAGGGTACATTCCGGAGAGGCAATAAAGCTGTTTGGTTTTTTAAAACCAAAATATCAAAGGACAGAGTGCCACACCTACAGAATCTATGAGTGCAGGAAATCTTTACCTGCCAAACATGTGGCCAGTTTTACACTAAAGACAAAACAAGTGTCTTGCACATCTGCGTGCTCACTCCCACACTTGGTTTGCACCTCAGGCGAGGTTTGGAAATGCCACCTGCCCTAGGTGTGAATGAGACATGGTACTGAGGAGCAGGGGGAGCCCGGCAGGGGGTGAGGAGTTGTGGCAGAAGAAGGGGTGGCTCTGGGAAGGGAGGGTGTGAAAGAAGGTGGTTTGGAGCTGCTTCCAAGGCTTGGATGTTGCTTTGGGTGGGATTGGGTGGCGGATTCACAGAGGAAGTGGGAGAAGCAACAACAGAGCCTAGGATGGAGAGAGGACCCCTACATGCTTGTAAACTGAGGCCCAGGGAGTCGGCTCTGCTCAGCCAGTCCTGAGACCAAGTCTGTAAACAAGACAGGGCTGCACCCAGCTGAACCATCAGGCGCGTTTTGGAAGACAGCCCTAACGACCGGAGCCAAACTGAACTCCATAGTGTTTAAATATTTTTATTTATTTATTTGAGAAAGAGAATGAGAGAGAGAGAGCATGAGATGGGAGAGGGTCAGAGGGAGAAGCAGACTCCCTGCAGAGCAGGGAGCCCGATGTGGGACTCGATCCCGGGACTCCAGGATCATGACCTGAGCCGAAGGCAGTTGCTTAACCAACTGAGCCACCCAGGCGTCCCTCCATAGTGTTTAGAAATCCGATGTTGTGATTTTCCCTTCAACAATTGTCAGTGTGGACTGGATTTATCTCTACAATCTCTTGAGCCCGAAAGAAGCTAGAATATAAAACCTTTTTCCTGATCTTGCCATGATAGAACTTAAGATACATTTGATTCACATCCCTAATTCCGAGGGTTGGCTGTTGGATACTCTAAGATTGCCTCTCCTTCCCGGATCTGGTTCCCTGGGCCTTTAAGGTGCTTCCAGCCAAAAGTTCAAATGTGTCTTTGAATTCTGCATGCCCCCCACCCCAATAGCTCCTTCCCAAGCCTCGGTATAAGCCACAGAGAGGGTCCACACAGGCCTGTGTGTGGCCAGGAGGCATGCGAACCCCGGCTCTGTGGGAATCCCTCGTGGGTCTGAGACTCAAAACTAGGGATTCTCAGTGGGCAGGTGGAGAAGAGGACAGCCCTTCCTTAGGGCTCCAGACGCAGAGGTGCAGGGGCATCTGCCATGCTTCTCCCATCCCCCAACCCCAGATTCCAGGACACGCTGGAAGTGCACGGTCACCAGTCACCCGTGCTTGCCCTCGCCCCCACCCGCCTTGAGAGGGAGACTCCTGGGGCTGCGAGAGGCTGGGAGTGACCACAGGTGGCCACCGTTCCTTCTGGGGGCCGGGGGCCACTGCCAGGGGGGAGGAGAGTCCACACAGGTGTCCGGGGCCCTTCAAGGGGTTGGGGCACTGAACTAGCGGTTCCTGTCACAGTACCACCCGGCCCCCTGCTGCAGCTGGAGAAGTGCTGTACCCACAACAACAGTGTCACGCTGGCCTGGAGGATGCCGCCCTTCACCCACAGCCCCGTGGACGGCTACATCCTGGAGCTGGATGACGGCGACGGGGGCCAGTTCCGGGTGAGGCCCTCCTGATTGCTTTGGGGGGTAACACCGAAGCTTCTGGACTAGCCCATGGGGCTGCCCTCAGCTCCAATGCTGCCCCCAAAGGGCACTGGCCCCAAAACAGAGGGCCAGTGGGTCTGGACCCTTGGAAGATGGGGCTGCTCTACCAAGGGCTAGGTCTGGGCAGAGGTGGCAGCCACAGAGAAAATTTAGGACAGCTTTCCTCTGAAGACTGACACAGGTCTGAGGCAGAGGACGAGCTCAGAGAAGTTGTCACCTGCATGGATCGACTTCCCAATTCACCCCACCAGTGTAGTCATAGCTATTCTTCCACATCCTCCCAGATATCTCTGCTCACGCAGGTCCCCACTCCCTCAACACTCTGTCGCTTCCTGCCCTGCCTGGGTCAGATTGTTCTACCCGGCAAGGTGCTCTGCCTGGGAAGACAGATACTTTGTAAATGGTGGTTGGGTTGGGATGACCTTCTACACTCACGTTTCCAGTGATGAAATATCGTGGCGACAATAAAGGCTCTTAGTGAGCCAGAAATGGTCTTCGACTCCCCCATCTGGGAGAGACCCCAACCCAGACCCCCTAATAGAACTCTACCTTGAGATTTCACACAGCGAAGCTCAGGTCACTGTCAAGTTGCTTTGTGGGCAGGAACACCAAGGAGAACAAACTCTGGGTCTTCTGAGAGTTCCTCCTTTCCCTTCCCGAGGAGACTAAGACAAACTGGAACAAACCACTGCCACCATTAACAATTGTGACCTTCCTTCTCCTAGGGACCTGCACCATCTATCGAATCTTGCCAAAGACCAATGTTCCTTTTGTTTCTCTCAAACGGATTTATGCATATGTTGTTTCATTTTTTTGTTTGTTTGTTTGAAAGGTATCCTACAGGAACGTAAGACTTGGGGAAAGAACCCTTAGGAATTGTTGGGTCCTGTGTGAATGTGGGCAATTTAGGGAAGAGACGAGTTGGGGTCGGGTCAGCACGGAATGGCAGATCACTCACTGGGTTCAGAACCTCAGGTGTTCTGGCTGTGCAAAGGAGCTAAGACCAGAAAGAACTCTGGGACCGGAAACCAGGAAAAGAGCCCCTGTTTCTGAAATGGGAAGAGAAGACTGTTTTAGGATGTGCAAAGAAGCAGCCACAGAATTCAAATACAGATGCCTCTCCCCTTTGAGACATGACCACTAACAAAAGCTAGATACAGGGGCTAGAATTTATGAGGAGCTGCACGTTATAGTGGGAAAAGTGTTGGCTTTGAATGCAGGCGGGCCTGGATTTGAACCCTGGCTTCCAAATTGGTTCACTCTGATCCTGGGCAGGTTTCCTACCTTCTCCAGGTCTCCTTGTATATAAAATACAAAAAAAACAAAAACAACATTCAGAGATCATGTGAGGATTAAAATGGCTTGTACAATGCCTGGAACACAGCTGCTATTATTAATAACCTGGAGTAACAAATGAAGAGCCAACCCCCTAAACAACCAGATAGGAAAGATGTTTTAGACAAAGTAGAAACAGTGGCACAGGAGGAGGGCCAGGCTCTGCATTTGGGAAAGTTAAGAGGACAAAGATAAGTTTGAAGTGAATGGAGAAGAAAATAAATCCCTACTAAAGGATTTTTGGGGTCCCATACAGAAATGTCTCACCGTCTCAGAAGGCTGTGAGCAAAGCAGTTCTGGGGGAGGAGGGCCAAGGAGTGGAAGATGCCAACCTCAGGGGTGGCAGAAGATGGGAAGGAGGTGGAGTGCCCCTCTCAATCCAAATCAACTTGACCCCACCTGTGTTTGGTCACACTTCTTCCCATCACGTGTGCTGACCCTTCTTCTAAAAAGATTGGTGATTTTGTTTAGTTAGATGCTTAGCTCACGTTTCCTAGCTTACATTCCCACTAAACCCCAGCAACCTTCTCTTGCTCCAACCAAGAAGGAAGTGGGGGTTTCTGTACCTCCAGCCCCTTGGGAAGTCCTGTCTGACCAGCAGACTTCAGCGGAGGCAGGACATTCTCAGGAGGCATGCTAGCTGGCTGCAGACCCGCCATCCCTCGCTGCCTCCCTAGGACCCCGTCACACCTCCCATCTCCACAGGCAGATGGGCTGGCCAGCCAGTGGTCGGACTGTGTGTCCGACTTGGACATGGTCTGTGGGCCTGCAGCCACTCAGCCACATTCCCCTGATTCAAAAGCTCTATTGAGGCACTAGCTCTTTGAATGACAACATGTTGCCAAGAGAAATTTTCCAGCTAACAGAGGCGCCTCCTGAGCACTCTTGGTTGTCTTTTAGGAAGTGTATGTTGGCAAAGAGACCTTGTGCACCATCGACGGTCTGCATTTCAACAGCACCTACAATGCCAGGGTCAAAGCTTTCAACTCCTCCGGCGTCGGGCCTTACAGTAAAACCGTCGTCCTGCAGACTTCTGATGGTGAGCACTGGGGGCTCGGGGGAAGACCAGATTCAGGCACTGTGGATGAGCTTCTGAAGGAGGACGGGAGGGAACACTCAGCTGCATAGGACAGAGGAGTGGCGGGATGGAGGGAATGCGGCAGTGGTGAAGTGTATACTTTTTCTTCCCAGCCCCTCCCCGCCCTGCTCACCGTGGCCCCTTGCCTGCACCTCCCTCCCCACAAGCCACCAAAAAAGAGCCAGTTCTTCACCCCATTTGCTGGACTGGAATGGGAAATGAGCATCTGAGAGGCTCAGGGAGACCCAGGGGCTGAAAATGGGTAGGACGGTCCTGGAGAAAAGGCCACTGGTCCTTGGGTATGACTTTCCTCGCAGCAAGAAACGATCCCTCGAATATCCAGTGCAAGAGCCCAGGTCTGATGGTTTACACACCTAGCTGCAACCTTTCAGGTTTCTGGCAACAAGAGCACATCAGCGTTCGTGGGATTTTGGTCATCTGAGTCCTTAGCAGGGAGTGATGATATAAATAAAGCTCATGTTCCAAAAAGCATCTGCCCTGCTAACCCAGGCATGCCCCGGCCTCGGGTGCAGCGTCCTGGGATGACGCTGATCCTGTTTATTGTCATCATGTATCCTAGCACATCCTCTGGGCGCCCTGAGGAAAATGTGACACACTTGGTTAGTCTCCCAAGGATGGAGGGGAGAAAGGGCAGGAGCAGATGCTCTTGTCAAGGGCACAACTGGGGATGCTTTCTGAAAATGGTGCAACCTGCAGGCTCATTTTAGAAGGCATGAAGAGTTCACCAGCTCTCTGCCCGCAGGGGCCCCCTACCCTGGAGAACAGCAGTTCTTGCCCTATGCATCGTGGTCATAATTTCAGAGTAAGCACCTCACTTCCCACAACCTGAGGGATTGGAGAACAGAGGAGGCCACTCAATGGGCTGCGAAACAGGAGGATGAAGCTTGGTGACTTTGGTCACATCACTTCACCTCTCTGTGTGTCAACCCCCGCCCCTGCCCACCACGTGGGGCCATGGATATCTACTTCCTCTTTAACTCTCAGCAGTGTATGGAACGTAAGGGAAGGGTGTCAGAGACCAAGACTCCATAAAATGCATTTAGATTTGGGGCTCTGAGGCCCGAATGTCCGCATTCCTTGACGAGGTTGGGCTCATGTGATTGAGAATCTGGATGAACACAGATCCGAGAGTGTGTGTGTGTGTGCACACATGTGCATGGGAACACGTGTGTGCCTGGGTGTGAATCACACAGGAAAGAACATTCGATGCTGGATGCCAACTTTCTGCTGGATGCAAATGAGTCTTTCTCCCAGCCCAGGTTAGAGACTGCTAGCCAATTCCATCCCTGACTCTGGTTCCTTCCTTTCCAGTGGCCTGGTTCACCTTTGACCCCAACTCTGGGCACCGGGACATCATTTTATCCAATGACAACCAGACGGCCACCTGCAGCAGCTATGACGACCGGGTGGTGCTGGGCACGGCGGCTTTCTCCAAGGGCGTGCACTACTGGGAGTTGCATGTGGATCGGTACGACAACCACCCAGACCCCGCCTTTGGGGTGGCCAGGGCCAGCGTGGTCAAGGACATGATGCTGGGCAAGGATGACAAGGCCTGGGCCATGTACGTGGACAACAACCGCAGCTGGTTCATGCACTGCAACTCCCACACCAACAGGTGCGCCGTCGCGGGCTGTTGGGGACCGAGGACCCTGTGGGGACCGCGGACCCTGTGGGGACCACGTCCCCGCGGCCATTCCCGAGCTCAGGCGTCAGGAGCGGGGGGAGGTGTTGCAGCTACTTGGGTGTCCAGTGTCCAGGCAGAAGTGAGTGTTTGCCTGCACAGCCTGCTGCAGAGACTAGAGCAGCCCCAGGGCATGGCTTGACAGGACACTCCGTAGGCCCCACGACCAGGTTCTGCCCGGGCCCTCGGCTGTCGTTCCCTTCCCAGTTCTGCTCCCCTTTCATTTCCGCACTGGCAGCCGGGCCCGAGTCCCCGCACGGCCGGTGCCCTCACGGCCGCGACCAGGTCTCTCCAGGGACTGGACCTACCCCGCCCCTGCGCACAAACCACAGAGGGGCCCGGTCCAGACCCACCAGCTCCGTCTCTACTCGCTTAAACCGAACGGTGCCCAGACACGCTGCCCACGGGAGGAATAACGGGGAGCATTTATTGAGCTTACTTCGCGCCGGACGCTGTCTGAAGCACCTGATTTACACGATCTCCTTCAGTCCTCACAACAGTACAAAAGTCATTTTACGGAGTATATGAAGGGCTTAGGTTAAACAAGTGTCCCGAGTCACAGGGCCACCTCGCGGCGCTGTCAGGACTTAGCTCAGGGTCCCGCCTCCGCTTCTGTGTGGGGTTAGGGGCCGGGTGGGAGCCCCGGGTGGGGGGCTGCGGAGGGGAGCCCCGCGCGGACCCTGGGCGCAGGTGCGCTTGGGTGGGAAACAGATGTGTGCGCCTCGGCCCGGTCTCTACCGCCACCCGGCGGTCGGTGTCTGAACAGCCCCAGGGGCCGGGCTCTAGTTCCTTTTTCCCACCTGCGGGATCCGGCCCCGGGGGTCCCAGGACACCCTCGGGGAATCCTGCCCTTTTGGGAAGCGCTTTTCCGGTCAGCGCCCGAGTTTTCCTTACGCCCTTCCTCACGACCTTGCTCTCTGGCCCGCCATCAGCCTGCAGCTGATGAGCCCCTGCCCCGTCTGGAAAAGGGTAAAAATGGTTTTCTTGTCAGAGTGGAGCACCTGGAGTGGAGGCGGTGACCTCAGCCCTCAGCTAAGGGAAGGGAGTCTGAAGGACCCCCTTCCAACACGGCGAGGAGGCAGGTGGGCCGGGGCCCCTCAGCACAGGGCCGCTCACTGATGCTTCTGGCGCGGCGGTTGTGAATTCCCACCACCGCCAAATGTGGGATCAGGGACGTTTATTGAGAGCTTCACAACTCAGCCTCAAGGCTCCACTCTTGGCGACTCAGACGGGGGACTTGATTCCAGGTTCAGCATCTGTCCCCTGCCATGCACGGCCTTTCAGGAGTCCCTGGGAGGTTTCTGAGATGAGCTGAAGGCCGGTGGACCTTTTGAAATCTCCCAAAGACCTGGCTGTCTGCCCCTTTGTGGATCTCAACATCCTCACTGGTTAAAACTGTCAAGGGCACCAAGTTAGTTCCTTTCCTTGGCAGGTAAAGGAGCCTTCCCTACCCACGCTCCCCACTCCAGGTTTTCAAGTGGGACCCACTCATCAAAACCCTAAAACTCCCTGGGGGTCCAGGTCTCAGGGACTGTGAGGATAAAAGGGACGGAATAAGACGGTTCCCTCAGGGTGAGGAAGCATACACGAAGGGTAAGGCCTTGCTGTGTGGCCCTTTAACCGGTGAGCGCACTTCAAGAAAAGTCTCATAGCCCAGAAGAATAGCTCCCTGCATGGCCACGGGGGCTGTGTGCGGGTGAGGATATTCCTAGCATCCTTTACGTGATTCTTCTGAGCCATCACCTACGTCCCGAGCTAGGTGTGGTGATGGGGCTTCCTGGGGCTTCTCTTCCTAGGACGGAAGGCGGCGTGTGCAAGGGGGCCACTGTTGGGGTGCTCCTGGACCTGAATAAGCACACTCTGACCTTTTTCATCAATGGGCAGCAGCAGGGCCCCACAGCCTTCAGCCACGTGGACGGGGTCTTCATGCCGGCCCTCAGCCTCAACCGCAACGTGCAGGTACTGCGTACCCTCCAGGCAGGAGCCCCTCTGGCGGCTCCCCTCGGGGTTCGGGGGCTTCCGAAGCGCACTTGGACAATGTGGGCTATAAGGAAGCTGACTGTTGCTACCTACCACAGCCCACCCTCCCTGGAGACGGTCTCTCCGGCATGATCAAGTCTTGCGTATTCACTTGAAATAAGCAGAGGCTCTACGGTGGCAGCTTGTGGAGCCACCGTGGGAGGGAGGGGGGGAGGGATTGGAGTGGGGAAGCAGGTAGGGTTTCCATTTTCTGGGAAAGGTGCAATGGAGGCACTCTGTGAGCAGTTGGGAGGAAGTCAGTGCCCCCTGCCCAGCTTGAGCCGATGGCCAGGTGTGGGCTGGGGCCTTCCAGGCGTGGCTCTCCCCTGAGAGGAGAAACACAGCGGAGGGCTGGAAGAGACCAGTCCGAGGGGCTGTGAGTCTCCTTCTGCTTCCTCTCACCCTTCTCTGCGCCCTCTGGCTCCCACATGAAGCAGGCAGGAAAGATGTCCTTTTAGATCTCAGGGCTGGGCCGTCCTGGGGGAGGGCTCAGGAGGCCCCAAAAGGACAGAGACAACATGGGAGCCCACGAGGGTGTGAGGGGAGAGGGAGAGTAATGTGGAGACAGCACCGTTGGTTTCTAGCAGAGCCCTCCTCCCTCTGGGAGTCCTGCTTTGTGGTGCCCACTGGCTCTGCATATTGATAGGTCTGCATCAATCACTGATGGATTGATTTGTACCGCCACCCATTCACAGAAGGGCTTTGAGGCAGCCTGGAATATGGGCTGTCCTCCCACAAGGGTACTAGAACAGGTGCCGGAAAGGAACGGGGGGGCCTGGAAAGAAAGCAGAAACAAATATACAACTGCGAGAACCATATACCTGCTGCAACAGAGCATCAGCCTCGTCCGGGCTCCTGGCCGCTGGGACAAAGTGGGTGATCCGGGCACAGACCAGCTCCTCAGGGCAGACTCGCGGACACTGCATGAGCGATACTGAGTCACACCTCCTAAAGTGCCCAGTGATGAAAAAGGCATAGCCCACGACAGAGTGGGCCACTACCTGTGGCGACCCACTATGCTATGTGAGCCCTCGGGGTTCTCGCGGTGGCCTCCCCCACCCTCACTCACCCTGTCTTCTTTTCCAGGTCACCCTGCACACAGGACTGGAAGTGCCAACAAACCTGGGGCGGCCCAAGCTGTCAGGCAACTAGCCTCTCAGCTCTAGCTGCTCACCGGCATCTGGGAAAAGCCCCACCACCCCTCACTACGTTCAAAGAACCCATGAGGGTAGGACGATGATGTCATGGGTGCAGCCCCAGCAGCCACTGAGTATCTTAGAGACAAGTGTTCTTTGGGAGACGCAGAACAGGTCTGCAAGCCATGCTTGTTGAGGCAACTGGTTAGACTGGCCACTTGTGAAAGTGACCACTGGTCGGTGGTGAACGTGGGTGTGTGTGTCCCTTTCATTCCTCCTGGACATTGCAAATACTCCCAAAGAAGGACCTTTCTCAAGGGAGTGAGAAAGCACCTGGGGTTTCTTTCTTTCTTTTTTTTTTTTTAATTTTATTTATTTATTTGAGAGAGAGAGTGAGAGAGAGAAAGAGCACAAGAGGGGGGAGCGGGAGAGGGAGAAGCAGACTCCCTGCTGAGCAGGGAGCCCAATGCGGGACTCAATCCCGGGACTCCAGGATCATGACCCGAGCCAAAGGCAGTCGCTTAACCAACTGAGCCACCCAGGCGCCCGCACCCGGGGTTTCTGATGATGCTTCCTGCCACCTGTTTTCAAACCTTGTCTTTTGGGGGGCTGGGGGAGCACAAGGAAGGCAGATTGGCATCCTGAGAGAAGGAGGCAGGAAGACACTTTGGAACCCCATGCCCCAGGGGTTGACCCTTCGCCGGGACATCACTCAGTTCCGAGGCTGCAGGTTCCCATCTTCTCCAGGAAATGTTATCCTTTTGATTCTTGGTCCTCGAGTCTCCACTATGTTATGCCCTTGCAAACCTAATCCAAGGTTGATAGAAAGGGGCATTAATTTTGACCTTCACCACTCCCACCGAACTGTTGAGAACCTTTTAAAATGGTTTCCTTTGGTCCTTCATTAATCAACCAGTCTCTCTGTGTCTTTCTCTCTCTCTCTCTGTCTCTGTCTCTCTCTTGCATGCACACACACACACACACACACACGATAGTCTGCTAAAATTCATTCACTCAGTTCTTAGTTCAACACAAAGAAAACGTTGACATTGGAATGACAGTGTGAGGAGTCTTCACCTGGTGGCTCTTTCTGGAACTGCAAGCCTGTCTGAGTTGCTCTCTTCCAGGCTGGGCCTCTCCCAGACTCATAGCACCCAAGGTGGGAGGCCCTGGGGAAGCCGCTTAGGCCCTTGCTTGGAGACCCACCCTACTGTCATCCTGAAAGCAGGAGGCGGCCCCAAGGGCAGGGGTGGTTCTGCCCTGGGGGCGGAGGAGGGCAGGTCCTCTGAAGAAGGCAGGAAACAGCAATATCAGCGTGTTCCTAGCCCCCCAGTCTCCCGGGGGGAGCTTGGGTGTGCGGAGTCCGAGAGGCCCAGAGGTGGGGCCTCCTTGCTGGGAACGCAGACCTCCTCCTTGGAGGATCTCCTCCCTGGAGATGCTCACGAGTCATTTGCATCTCTCAGAAAGAGAGCTCACTTTCAGGGCTCTGAGCCCGGAGCCTGCCTTGCTCCTGTCCCCAGAGCACCTTGCCGTCCTCTCCTTCTTTTCCTCCTTGTCACCTGCCACCTCCACTTTCCATCTGGTAGTGAACCGTTCTCTCTCCTTTTTAAAAGAATATATTTTATCAAACATTTTATTTTGTCCACTTGCTGGATCGGAGTTTTATATAACTTAGCCCGTAAACCGGCAGCAACTGCTTGTTCTACCTGCTTGTTCAGGCGCTGCCCTTGCTTTCTGAGTCGCCCAGGCCAATGCTATGTAGACCATGCCCCCTAGCAGCAGATCCGACAATCCTACCTCAGAGCCCGCGCCCTTGGACTGCAAGGCTGCCTTGTCCCCGCCTTGTGGGCAGGTGTGACCGGCTAGGCGTCTTCAGGAGCTGCTTGGTGCTGTCTAAGCCTCCGTGTCCCGGTCCCGGCAGCCACCTGCCAGGGGAGCTGAGGTCTTGCCTCTTCATTCTCCGCCTGCCTCGTGGTTCCTTGGGTGCACGGAGGCGCTCCTCGTCCTGTCCCGGAGCTCCGCCAGATCCCCCCGCCGGGGACGTCCCTCCCGGACCCCAGGCTGCCACCTGTCCTCCCAGCAGCTGCCTCTCTCCTCTTTGCTTCCATTTGCCTTTGGTGTCACTCCTCAGCCAGCTCCGGGTGGACTCAGCTTGGAAGGTGGGGAGGATTCCTGAAGACTGGAGGACACAGACAAGCCACGGCCTTCCTGGGGCTGATGAAACGTGGCCGGCGGGTCCAGACGTATCGGCTGTGGGAGAAGGACCAGCGCGCTGGGAGTGACACCAGGAGTGAGTGTGGCTGGGAAGGCAGCGGTGACTTTCTGCATTGGGGTCCGGATGAGAGGCCAGGGAGCATCCAGAATCCCCGAAGCTGGCCCTGGCTCTGCCTTGTTGGAGAGGAGCTGCTATAGATCAGCTGGACTTGGTGCTACCCTCAGGACAGCCAGCACCTAGGTCAGAGGGAGATTGGAACAGGGACCAGCGAAGGTCCCACAATGGCGGGGCGGTCTCTTTAGGAAATGAAAGGTAATTTTCCAGAGGGAAGCTTCCAGAACTCCCCGCACTTCTGCAGCGGTCCGCAGCCCCAGGAGGCCCCGTGAGGGCCGGGAGCAGGCACCTTGGTACCTTTGCCAACTCCTCTAGGAGCCCAGCAGCAATACGGCTGATGCCGGGCCCCGTGTCAGGCTGTCCTGTGGCCACCTCTCCTGTCCTCAGCACAAAATGCCTTTCAGGGACAAGAATGGACCAAAGAGAGAAGGCAGGTCCGTGCCGCACACCTGTGTTTTTGAGAGATCAGCAAAACGAAGGAGGAATCATCAACAGCTCATGGCTTTATGTCACCCTCCCAGGAAGCCCCTGGGATTTGGAGTAGAGGCAACGGGCCATGGGTTTCTCATCTGCCATCGAATTCCCTGTCCCTTTACAGCGAACGTGGTGGCATATTTGTACATAAAATTATATCAAGACGATGCTTTTGTTGGGCTGGCCGAGGAATAACTGTTTGTCTATCGAGCAGTTTCAGTGAGAAAGGAATTCAAAGTAACTGAAAATGTCACGTTCCATTGCATTGTAAATAATGCCTCCTTAATGTCGTTCTGCGGTTTGTTCTTTGCTAGTGAGCAAGTTTGGTCAACGTGTATGCCTTTCCTTTTAGAATGAATCCTTTTTAAAAATGTCCAATAGCAACTCACTGCATAGCATCCTAGCTCCTAATTCAAAGCAAGGTAAGATATCGCACACAGCCCTGCTTCCCCCTCTCTGTCCTGTTTGGGAAAATAATGATTCTAATTAAAGTGGACATCAGTAATCCTGACCCACAAAGTAACTGACCTAAAAACTATAGCACTGTACATAGTTCTAGGCTGAATCTTCAGCCCTATGTGAACTCCGTAGTTGTGACAGCACCCTCAGGCGCCCCGTGGCCCGCTGAGAGGGAGGAGGATGGGGAGTGGGCCCGGGGATGGGAACAGGCCCATCCTCCTTTGCTCTTGGCGCCCGGGGAATGCCCTACCCTTCTCTGCCCACCAGAGCACTCTCAGGAAAGGATGAGAACGCAGGTTCTGTGTGTCCTCCTTCCGGGGATATTTGCATTTTAGCCTTAATTCTGATTGCAAGTGAAAGGCTTGGTCCCCCGTGAAGGCATGTTTCAGCAGAGGGGTGGGCAGCTCTTACACAAAGCTGTTGCTGGTCCGTCCCGTGGCCACCTGCTCATGGTGAGATAGTGAGGGTAGGGAAGAGACCTGGGGGGGCGGGGGGACTCGGCATGTGAATGCTGGAAAACACCATCACAAGGCCCACAGATGATGCCAGGTTCCTCAACTTCAGCTTTATTGACATTTTGGGGTGGGTAACTCTCTTACTGTTGTGGGCTGTCCTGTGCTCTGGAGGATGGTTAGCAGCATCCTCGGCCTGCACACGCAAGACGCCGGTAGCAACCCCCAAGTTAGCTGCAACGACTCAGTGTCTACAGACATTGCCAAGTGTCCCCCTGGGGGACACCCCGGGCTGAGAACCACTAGATTATGCTGGTGGTTTGTCATGGGTCCATACGCAGTGTGCTATGTGGGGCGTCCATCTCAGTGTTAGATGGAAAGCCTGCATCATAGGCTGCGGGCCTTCATCTTCACACCCAGTCCAGGGTTTTCCATAGGTCTGCAGCCTTCTGCCGGCTGGGGAAGATAGGGGAAGATGGGGTGAACCAGAAGAAGCCAAGCTGTCAGGTCTCACTTGGTATCTCCTGCAGATGCCCCCCACACCACACCCCCATTCCTAGAAGGCAAAACTTGTTACCTTCTTTTTCCTTGGCCACTTTTGACTGGAAGCAACAGGAACTTCTTAATGGATTTGTGGCCTTTATCTGGTTTCTAAAAATGGAATCAAATCTCCTCAGAAGGCATTTAAGGTCTATACTGATTCCGGGAAATCTCCACTTCTGTTTTGCAAGTAAGCCAGTAACTGTGTTCTCTGATCACATTCCTTGGCAGTTCCTCCTTGGCGAGAACAGGATCCTGGTGGCTTTAACTTTCAATGGACTGTAAGAATAAGTAAGACGAAGTTTGGGGTAGGATGTGTTGATCAGACCCCCAGTTCAGCCCTCAGAAACTCATCTCTTTTTAACCTGGCTTTGATATTGATTCATGGCATGGGTGTGGGCAAACGTCTTAAATCTTTCTGTGCCTCCGTATCCCCACCCAAAAATGGAACGAGTCCTACTAACCTACCTCCTCTGATGTACTGTGAGGATTATAGAATAACACTTTTTAAAGGAAAAAAATATAGTCCTTCATCTATTGCATCTAGGCTAATGGTTCCCATTCAGTGAATCAAGCCGTGTGGTGACTTTCCAGAATGTTCTCTGACCACAGACAGTGTCTTCCATGCAAGCCTCTTAGGACCAGGAGCATGTATTTATTACACTGCTGCCTGGCCTTTAGGAGGGAAAATTTTGACATTCAAAATAGGCTTCACATGACCATACAAAGCAACACAACATCCCAAATGTTCCCATTGCCAGT